ATATTCGAAGCCTGCAATCCTGTCACTTTTTACATTTTCATTTTTATTTAGATTCCGCTATTCAAACTGTGTAACTATGGGTGAGTTAAGATTCTTTTGAAAACAGTCGCGAGGATAGTGGAGCTGCATTCACTGATTAAAATAATAAATTAGTTTCCCATCCACTCTCATAATTTTGTTAATATATTATAATCTACGACTATTTTGTTATTTTAATTATAAGGCGTGATCATTGATCAACAAAAAACCTCCTCAGTTTGGAGTTAAACGACTATGTTCTAATTCTCGTCATCTGCTGAAATAGCGCGAGATATGAAAAATAGCTTGCTCGTTCAACATCAAACTGGGAGCGTTTTTTATTTTATTTTTTATTTATTGGTTATACGTTACTTGAAGATTATTTTAAATATGGTAAAACACTAAATCCAATTTGCATAATAGTGATCTGATAACTTCCTCTGAAACCACTGTCAAGTAAATCTCACTTTAAACGTCCACCATAAATGCTCAACTTTACCTACGGTTTCCGTCTGTCTGTCGTCCGTCTGTTGGTGATTTAACTAGGGTTCCGAAGCTTCAAAATTGATTACATTGAAATTTGAAATGCACCTTAAGATTGTCATGTGAATCATAAAAATTTAATGAAAATTTGTCTCACCATTCCCTCCAAAAAAATGTGTTTCCGACCTTTTGTTAAATATTTACTTAATTCACGCGTGAAATTTAATTTTTTTTATTTCTATCTAATACTAATAATAACGGTACTGTATTCCTAAATTTTCGGAAAAATAGAGTGAGTCGTTCTTGAATCTTGATTTAATCAATAAAATTAATCATTTCCGCCATGTGAAGTAGCAAAGGTGCAAAAAAGCATAAGTATTCGAAGTATTCGTAATTTAAGACAAATAGCGATAACGTTTGTCGAGATTGTACATGTGAAAATGAAACGAAGAAACTAAACTAATCGACATTTTCTACGAATTTCAATAACTGGATCACAATGTGATAGTCCAAACTTTTTTATTGTATCAACTTATTAATTCGCTTATTAAATAGAACATTGCATTTTATTTTGATTTTCGATGTTGTAATTCGCATTTGGTTAATTATAACTTGTCTAGGTCTAGGGAAGGCAAACATTTCTCCAGACGAGGCTGGCCTCCCCCTAGCTAAAGGACCAAGTTGCTCGATGGCCTAGATTACTGTATTTCTTTCGCTTACGCTTAATAAGTAAAAATTATTTCTTAGCAATAATAACAACGTGAAGTGTTTATGTTTAAAATCTACACGGAGGGCGAACAGACAGACCGAAACCGGATTGTAGAAGACATGACCCATCGAGAAAATATGAAAGTAACCAGCCGCCCGATGGACTCGAATACAATACTTCCTTAGCTTACGCTAATTTTATCAAGAAAATGGTTACTACGTGAAACATTCTCAGCATAGCAACAACTTCTCTGGTTAACTAACAATTTATCCCAACTATTATTGCGAAAATAGAAAAATATATGTAAATTTTCAGAAATTGTAGATATATAGAATCTGCATTTAAGGAACTTCCTTAAAATTTTTGGTGAGACAAATATTTATCAAAAATATGTTTTGAAATGTACTTTTGTGTGTATTTTAATGCATAATTTAAGTTTTTGCATTCGATTATGGAGGATAACCTAGAAAAAGTTAATGCGTTTTTGCAGGAGCGATCCATCTTAATCTGTAAAATTCCACACAGGTTTCTAATTTCCGTGTTTCTAACTATCGCCTATTCGTCAGCGACTTTTTAGAATTCAGTACCAAAGTATTAATATTATTTATGATCGTAGAAACTGCTCATATAACATTCCTGAAATTCTAGAAACACATTTATATCATAATTGCATTGTGGGCGGATTTATGTAGGTATACTTTATCTCATATAAAAATGCTATAACAATAATTATAAAACAAATTTTAAAATTCATTTCACAGAACTTGCCCCCCCTTGGGAAGCGCAGCAACGTCAGACTGTATTTTATTACATTCATTTTTTTTTGTAGGAATATGTACGATATGACAGAATTTATCGTTTATCTCAGAAATCATGGTAACGTTGTTAACCTTAATGAAAACCATTTCTTGGCGCATAATGCGGTGTTTGTTGTAGTATGAAGACAAGGGAAGTTCTACACAGCTTCACAGTTTTGTATATTTTTCTTAAAATAAATATGCTAAATATTAGTGTTACTACCGAGCATCTGTGTTATATCGCATTGTTTCATTTGATAGTTTTTTATTTATATACAGTATAACGAATCAGCGATCGAATTATTTCAAGTTATTCAGATTCCAAGAGATATCTACATCTACTTAAATATTATCTCTTAGATATATGTAATGGTTGCGAATTAAGTAGTTCAAAAATTACTGTAATGCAGTAAGGAGGAGTCATCAAACCAAATAACAAACTTGGTAATAAAATAGCTTAATCACTGATTTCATAATTAATATATCAGATTGTATTTGACACTGGAATGTATTATTTTTACTTAATTTTGCTACGTCTTCTCATCCGAACACACTTCTCTATTTAACTAAGTAGTAGGGCAATGTATTTGTTTCTACGCATAATTTTTAAACTGATCACATCTTCTGAACGACTCTCCTATTTGTCACCAGAGGTCTCCCCAACCTGGCAATTGTAATGTATGTTCGTGCACTTTTCGCACACCTAGCAAAAATTCAGGGCTCACTTCCTTAGCAAATGTACAACAAAACTATTTAGAACCCAGAGCAGCCCTTATGCACTGTAATCTTTTGCGTTAGGTACGGCTTTATATCTTCACATATTAATGCCATTTTTTCTTTTATACTTTCTGTATTTTCTGTTATACTGAGGAAGTCAGTATAATTCTTAACAAAGCAGAGTTGTTACCCATGTTGATTAGGTCATTTTGAAACCAAAATGACCTAGTCAACATGGGTAACAATACCAAAGGATATATTATCTCTTAATTATATATTTAAGACTTAATCCATATATCCTTGCTTTGTTCCCCTTTTTAGCCCAGTCCATCCTCTAGCGTATTCAATGCGACGGGCCAAACATGCCTACGGCAAGCTTATCGGTAATCAACAACATAGAAGAATTGCTAGACTGAAGACTCTGAAGACTGTTTTGAACCCATTTTTTTTTTATTTTGTGGTGTAATTGAACAGGCTTTTTTTTCATTTGGTGCGACACTTGTCAAAATCTGAGTTTTGTCAGTAATTATTGCATTCCTTGCAACACACTTATGGAATGTTCAGTTCTCACCACTCTGCATAAGCTTGACTGATAGAAGATACATATTGTAGATCACATTTCTATCTACCGTCTTTCTTTTAAAGCACCAAACGGACAAATTCAATCAAACACTTGATTTATCTGAATGCCTTCCTTCTCCTACTGCACTCACACTGCAGCTTTTCGCCACCATACAATACAATCACCTGATACAATCACCAGGTTATAGAATATACAGTTTATTAATATATCGTGTATTCATGTTACAGATTATGAAAAATGTGGATTCTAATTTGAGGCTCTAGAAAGTGTAAGAGAAAAGCACTCTCTTCTATTTTCTGCATAGAGCAACTTCCGCAGCTGCTTGTAAAAATCACTGTGTTGAAATTGTTTAGAGCTCTGTAGGACATACATTCGTTCTCAGATCTTGTAAAGTTGTAACATAAGCGTCTTGTATCGGAATTCTCAGGTGTTGTTGCGCATTCTGTTTTAACAAGCGGTTCTATATATATTATAAGTGCATATATTTTCACACTTGCAACAATATTTATTTAAACTCAAAATTGTGCGTGGAAATGAGTTTGTGCGCTATCACCTAGTTAAAAGAAGAAGACTGTTCGGATGAGAAAACTAGCACAATCAAAGTCGAATGTTATAAAATCGTTTCAGCTGTTTAATAAACCCAATTAATTGATCCACACCAGAGCCAATAAAATAAGTAAAATATTGACATTTGGAAGTATCTGTTCACAAGCATGTTAACAAGTTTTTTAAATTATATTTTCCAAACACGTTTTTGGAGAGAATTCTTTGTGCATTTTTGTGCCACAAAAATTTTATGCTAGACAAGTACATAAATATTTACAACATCTAAAATATTTTGTATATATTTTACGCAACAAAGTATAGATGTGTCATAAAACTTTTTTGCTGAAGTTGATCGACATAAAAGCATTGGATCCGCTTAATGGGTATGTGTAGTGCATATATACGCATGCACTATGCATATATGCATTTGTAGTATGAAAAGCTAAATATGTAACTGAATATTCTGTTTGCCTGTCTGTTAAAAAATACATACTAGACAAAAATAGATATTTACGAATTTTAAACGATCAACACCCACAAGACGAACTAAATTTACAATGTCTGTTATTTTAAAATTTATAACGAACTTCGCTTACAAACTACTGGGAGTTTATCCTAGACACATAAAAGTTTGAATTTCTAAAGTTATGGCAGCGTTTTGCATGAATATATTCCAAGTTTTTGTTATTTCTGCAATAAGACGAAGTCATTGGCCAAAGTTTCTGACCTCACCTTTGTGTATAATAATGCAGACGGTGGTCGTGTAGGGGATTGACAAAACAGTTAAACCAACAAACTCAGACATGCCTTTGCTTAAAAAAAGTCATTAGGGTTTGTTGCAACACAACTCTAGGAGTAATTAGTAAGACACGCAACATATGAGGTGAGGCTGTGCTACAATAATATGAAATATAAAAGCGACGTGTAGCTTCTATAAAAACTGACGTTTCACGTTCAAATTGCGGTTCAACTCCATTAGTATTATGTTAGGAAAAAACACGCACTTTGAACGAAATGCGCCAAGCTTTAATGATACCAGGGGAAAGCTATTGTCACACAACTATGTATAAGTAAAATGTCATACATCAACATAAAGGGAGGAGACAATAAATCGGGAAACGAATTTGGAAAACAAAGGCCTACTCACATATTGCCGAGTTATCTGCGAACATTACAGAAATATGATGGTGTAATTGTTAAAGTTGTTGTTTGGGTGCATTTTCATTATTACGACAATAATTGTCGAAATTATAACAACGCCGATTTTTTATAATATAGATTGTTTTCAAATAACTAGCAAATATAATTTTAAAATGAAAATATTCGTTTAATGCAATGTATTGCTTTGGAAAAATATGTATTTTAGATTCTGTAGTTTTACTTTAAAATAAATTTAGTAATGTGTAGAAATTTGTGAGTTAGACAGCGTTAATGTGATTGCATTAATTAACCAATGGTAAAATAACCTAGCATAATTAGGAAAATTATATAAAATGCGACAATTGCCAAAAATAATAAATATGCGTTATTTTATGGTAATTAATAAAAAATAGAAAACACAGTATACTAGCATTTTGGAAAACGTTCTTTAAAAATTTTTAAGTAATTACAGAAGTTGTATTGTATTTTAATAAAATTAAGATGTATATCGACGATGATGTCTATTTCTGTTTATTTTTGAAGAAAACAGGTTTAAAATAGTACCTTTTTGACAAGATGTTCGTAGTTATTTTCCAAATGAAAGAAAATCTTTTTGAATTTTAAACGTAATTTTATATAGCGATTAACGTTTACATGTTGGGCCACCAAAACTGAAAAATGAAAGTCGAGGAAACCAGTGACAGTCTAGTAATGGAAACGTAAATAATATAAAAGGCCGTCAAAGTATTTGTAACTTTTAATATTTAAATTGCTCCCAGTTTTACGTGTTTCACATTTTTATGATAATTATTATTAATTAGTATTAGTTATTCATTAGTATAACACAATAGTTTTAGCTGAAACTGATGAAATAATAATATCTATAATTGTTTGCTTTTCTCAGAAAAAAGGAGCATATAAAAAATGTATAAAAATAGTCTCTGTTTTCTTTTGTAAAAAATAACTAAGAAATTCCAGTACAATTTTTTCTTACATTTTATTAACAAAATAAAAAACGAATTTAATGAAGCTGGCGGAAATTCTATTTTTTTTATACTAGTACTGTAATTTTAGACGTTAGTAGCTTTATTTTTTAGGATGTAATAATTTTAGAATTCTAGTGCTTGTAAACTGATAACCCTGCAAAGCAGTGGATTTGTTTTTTAATATTTTCATTATATATCAGCAAAAATTATTTATCATTAATTTTGTGTCTGTAAAAAGTTTCTGAACGTACAAGTAATTCAAATTATTCTATAATCAATTTTACGATGTATTTGTCATTTATACCAGAATTTAATTAGGACTTTGCATCTAAGGTCTATGTAGGTTTTAACATGTGTTGGATATATGTAAATTTTATTTCAAGTAATAGTTTTTCATAAAACGATACGCAGTTTGGGTTAAAGTTACAAATACATCTGATACTGATGTTGGAGATATAAATTTAAAATTTTTTGGAAGAACTTATGGAGAACTATATTTTTATAACACATAAAAATTACAAGGGTTCAGGGATGACACGAAAAACTAGACATTCAATTTTTTTCGGAATTTAGTTTTACTAAAACATACTGAAGTCTATTTTATTAATCTGAAAGATTGTATTATAAAAATATCAGAAAATTTTGAGAAAATCTGTGTTAAAAGTAGTCTTACATTACATAATTTATTCCAAAATCAAAAATCCATCACCTGTTGAGTTGAGTTTAAAAAACCCTAGTTATATAGTTTAATTATTCTAATAAGACTGGCATTACAAAGCTTTGGAGTTTGTTGTCACGGATTGTCAGTTTGAAATTTAAAAATAGAAAGAAATTGTCATGAATGAATATTCCGTCCTCCATTAATTAAAATGAAATGAACACTTAAATTATTGCACACTAATATAAATTCCTAAAACTGACACTGGCAACGTTGCCATAAGTTGTATTTTCGAAGAAATTGCTGTGTTGATATATTTTTGATTTTCGAATAACATATATGTATGCCCATTTTCATGAATTACAAACTTATTCTAAGATTACTGTATTGTATTTTAATACAGTTGGAATGATCAAAAATTTCTGTAGCCTATTTATTACAAAATTTGTAAAATAATCGAATACATTTTTGATAAAATGTTACACGTAAAGAGTAGTGCAAGATTTGTCTTCATTTTTCAGAAAACCGAAAATGTTACATTAAATTTATACTGTCCCAAAATGGATTTTATTTTGTACATTTCTTTTGCCACAGTTATCTCCAAAGATAGTACATTAGAAGTACTTCTAACACATCAGCAGTGAATTATTTTTGAATTTTGATTTCAGCACCTGAATCTTATTTCAAAATAAATATAAGCAAAAATTGTAGTAAATAGCGTGCGATTGAAAATAAAATGAATTCAAGCATATCCTAAGGTGGCAATAAACAATAATATGGTTGAAGCCCCTATTAAATAGCTTAAATGTATTAAAAAAGCGACAAAAGCTAAGCATTAAAAAAATAGAACCAAATGGATATTTAGTGGATTAATTGTGCACAAGGTCCAAAATGCTGTTTTAGCTTTGGCTGATGAAATCAAGTCTCTCTGAAAATGTAATTATTCATTAGAAATGTATGCTATTTTAAAGACATTTTTTGGCTTCGTTAACGATTACTATTAAAAACAAATGTACTAAAACATTTAACAATTTTGGTACTGACTGATAATTATATAAAAGAACCAAAGGCTACTTATGGATTGAGCTGGATTATGGATTAATTTAACAATCTTGATTCTTGATGCGAAGTTAAAATCCCTCCAGAGTAAGTGGGATGCCAGTGGATGTATTTAAAAAGCGATGTTCCTTTAGTAAATATTAGCAGACCCATGCTTTCTCGTGAATTCCTTTGGTTACTCTCACTGTGCAATTATGAATTCCCCTTTCTTTTCCAACTGCTCTGTTATTGTTTGAATGAGTTTCTTTAATTAAATATCGAAGTTAATAAAAACTAACTACGATTAATTTTTGGCGGTTTTTGTGTATTTTGCAGATGTTAAGTCTATTTCGGGCTCATTTTCAGCTTGACACGAACCTTATAATTTTTATAAGATATTTACTAAACATGTCGCTTTGGAATATTTTAAGATTTTTTTTGTCCTTGAATAATTTTCGGAACGATTTTTTGTTGCAAAGGTACGGGGGGCTAAAAATAAAGTAAAACTCAAAACCGCCATTTCTATCGGAAATAGGCCTATGAGGTGTAGCGAATTTTTTTGGAAGAGTCACTACCAGGGTTCCTAGAAAATGTACCATCGGCAACGGAAATGTAATGTGTTTTATGTGAACAATGGTACACAAGCAAGTGTGGTTGCTCATGAATTTTAAACGAAACATATGGAGATCGCTGGATTGGTCGAGGTGGACCTGACTTATAGCCTCCTCGATCCCCAAACTTAAATGTCTTGGATCTTTATTTATGGGGTCATTTGAAAACATTAGTATACATTACTCCAGTGGAAATGTTTGAGAAACAACCTTGATATTTTTGGAAAAATTCAACAGTCAATGAGAAGATTGTTGCATGCATGCATCTTAGCTGGTGGTAGTCTTTACATGTAATATGAATTAATAAAGTATTGTTATTTTCGAAAAGCTTTTATCGCCCTATGACATCGAAATAAAGCCTCTTTCCGAAAATGATCGAAGGACAAAAAATACTAAAATAACCCAAGGAATAAATCCTTGAATGTTTGCCGCTTGTTTACTAAACATCCTGTATACGTAGTAGTTTAGATTTTTTAGCAAAAAACTTCTTGTGGGACGGGCAGGCAAACCAACAAACAAAATGAGTAGTATTTCTCTTGTGTTTAATAATAATTAATGGATCTTTATTAATAAAGATTCAATAATTATTGATTTTTTTTAAATGATGATAAATACTCGTATTATCTGAGAAATTAAGAATTACATATATTATTATATTTTTGCTGATATATGTGAAAAAAGCACTCTTAACATGAACGCTTACATTCAAATAATATGCTTTTAACAAAAAATAAAAATAGCTGGAAGCTCTTATTTTGAAAACAATATTAAGTATTTGAAGATGAAACTGTAAATAATGAAAATGCACCATCTCAAGTAAGTCAATATGTTTAAAATGCAAATACATTCAGTTTACAGCGACGACACCACACACATTGACAAAAAATGTGCGTAGGCTGGAGTTTCGTATCCCGAAAATACCACAAACCCATATAGTAGAAATTTAATACATTGGGTAGGTGGTTACACCCAAACAACTAACTTTGAAAAGGTGTAATAAAGCTAATCCGTTCGAAATAATTTTTTATTATCCGATTGAACAAAAAGCTTTTTTTCTACTTTTTGTGGGCTTGAGGAAACACCCAGCCGATAGATGATGATGCGATCGAGCGGATGCGGATACGTTCCACAAAGATGCTGATAATTTCACGGCTTTTTTCATATTCAAATTATTCTTTTGTAGATAAGCCAAAGACTGCGACCTTCTCTTTTGTTGTAGATTGGTTTCACTTCGTATTTCAATATGTAAATTGCATATGTGTTGTCGAACTGTAAAAGTTTGTGTTGTAAAATGTAGTTGATATCGTTAGTTTGAAAACCAGAACGAGAAGAAATGTTTTATTCGTATAGCTAGAATGCCAAATAAAAATGTTTTATTCGCTTGTTGAAGTCATCCAGAGAGCACAGCGAAACACTTGTTATGCAATTTGTATTAGTCAAATTGAATCAAACTTCTTACTTCTTGGTTTATTTAAGCGACAGCTAGGGTTATTTTATTCCAAATTACACAATATTTCATACTCAGCGAGTTTTCGCCGGGGAAAAAATTAAGGCTACCTAAAAACATGCTGAAATATACCGACGCTTTTTCATGCTTTTTATGACTCACATAAATTTTAAAATCTCTACACAGTTACATAACTACTCACTGATCTTAGATCCTGCAAAATTTAAGGTAAAATTTCAATCTTTGTTGATAGTAAATTTAATAACGAAAATAAAACCTGAA